ATGTTACACAAAGATTATTCCATAGAAAAGATCATAACACTTCCAGAATCATTCAACAGAACAGATCACCATAAAGGTCATTCTCTAGTCCCTCATTCTTAAAACAAAATCAAGTAAAATAATGGTTCCTAAAATGGCGTACGCTCAATTGAGACCCCTCATACATACATCTATCAGAATGCAGAAAAAATTTATATTGATTTCCTACACAAAGTCTTAATTTTTAATGCCTTTGAGTTCCACAAAATGCATCAGTGCACTTAGAAGGACTGCAAAAAGAGTTTTATCTGGATGAATGCATAAGAGATAGTAGCAAAGTGAAGACACAATCTCTTCTGAGAAAATTGAAAATACGAACAAGCTGTTACAAACTTAAGTTGATCGTGAAGCAAGACGGAAAGTAAAACTCACCAAGTATCCTCCCTAAGTGATTTGCAAATCCACCAGATATTATGGAATGAACATTTTTTTTAGCTTACAGGAATTTGCTGGTATACAAAAAATTCTGTTTCCATTAACTATCAATTCTTCCTTTCCCTTCAGATACCTATCTAAAGCTAAAACTAAGAGCTATTCTCCCACTTAGCAATTTTGAAGGTCATAGTAAGTAAAACCAAAAAAACTATGGACAACTGGCGCCAGATTGACTAGGTTTTAATGGATTGACGAGGCAGTCACCTTTAAAAAAACTCTGAAAAGCTAAACTAATAAGACAAAACAAGAAGACTATATAACAGTGTTCTGCCACTGTTTTATTCATATTCTATTCCCTATCATCCTTTGTTATAGCTCTGGCTACAATAATTAAAACATATGAACTAATCTCCATCTTTTGTGCTTATTCTATCTGGCTATTTAACCTAAAAGATTTATATGAATAGCAGTTATACTTCTTCATAAAGTCAGCTTCATCGGATAGCAGTTACAGATGTAACTACAGGCAGACTTTGTATATCAGAAGATAAAAGCACCAAGTTACTAAACAGCGCAACGATCATGCTATTGATGGATTGGTTCAAAGATTTAATACTCCATACTTTGAAATCAAAAGCATTTATCGAGATTGCTTCTGAAATGGTGAAAACAAAAGGCAGATATTTGCCAGTTAGAACTTTTTTTGGCTCTTGATTCTCACCTCTGTTCAGCACAGATTTGTGCGATAACAACTGAAGCAATTAAATTGTATCATATCAACTTCACAATATTCAACCTCAGAGAACCATGTATATCAAAACTGGGAGCGAAAGACAGATAGTAAACCTAATTACCTAATCAACGTGCTGCATTCAGTCCCAGTAGCATGTTCTGTTTGGGCAAGTAAGCCACATTGGGAGTCTTAGCTAAGGTCGAAGCAACCTCCCTCGAAGCCTCAATCCTCCTCAGCTCAATCAAACCCATTCCAGCCGCTGCAGTTGCATCAGAAATCAACTTAGCAGACTCACTCTCTCCTTCAGCCCTAATAATAGCTGCCCTCCGTTCTTGTTCAGCCTTCATCACAACAAATTTGGACCGCTCTGCCTCCTGCTGGGCAACCTGCTTCTGCTCCACAGCTTTAGAAAATTCAGCACCATATGATAAATGGGTTATCGCCACATCATCAAGCTCAATGTTGAAATCCTTTGCACGACGAATCAAACTCTCACGAACCAATGCAGACACCTGTGGACGCTCTGTGAGAAGCTGATCCGCGTTGAATTGTGCAACGACAGCTTTGAGAACTTCATTGCCGATGGAAGGAAGGACCTTCTCATCATACTGTAATAATAAAATGAAAATAAAGAATCTTACATACTATACACAAAATCCGTATATACAATTATATACTAGTAACTATAGAAAAAATCAAACATACAAATATGGAAAATATAAATCTTATATATTCCATACAAGCTCTTATAAACACTTATATATGAAATACAATTAAATTTTTGAGACAAAACCTTTATATACAATTACCTCATCAAAATATCCTTATATACAATCATATACATTATACTTACATACATGAGTTCAAGATCTACCAGAATAACAATATCAAAGATACTACAATGTCATATCACTTCATAGGCAGTGACAGGCAAATCTCTTGAAAATCATTCATTGGTAGTCTGACAAAATTTAGAACTAATCTGCTATCACATGAAAAAAATTCACTAGTAGTGTCAAAATCTCTATGCATGTAAAAAAACACGCAGTCAGATCACTTAATAGATAATTTCAGGCAAATATCTCAAATATCTTTAATTGATAATCTGATAAAATTGGTAACTAATCTATTATCACAGGTTAAAAATTCACAGATAGCGTTTTAAAATCTTCACAATGTCAGTATACATAATTTGAATCCTAGTACATAGTACAATAATATGCAGAAATGCTTATATACAAAATATGTAAATACACATTCAGATCACTTAATAAGTAATTACTGGAAAATCTTTTGAAAAGTACTAATTAGTTATCTAATAATAACAGTAACTACTATACTATGACAAGTTAACAATTCACCGATAGTGTCAAACGGAAACCTTATACTGTCAGATTACGTAATATAAACCTAAATGAGTCTAAGTTTAATGAACAGACAGTATAAAAATTATTACACAATCAGATTACTTAAAATGTACGTGACTAATTTTTGCTATCAAAAGCTAAAAATTCACATATAATGTCGAAAAATCTTTAGATTGTCAGTGTACATAACTTAAATCCTGCATACAATAATGTGTTTTAAATGCTTATATATAAAAAAACATGTAAATTACACAAACCTCGAGACCTAGAGTTTTGAAAATGTCAGGAAGACGAGAAATTTGAGGGCGAGAGAGAACACGGAGGGTAAGATGGACCATCTGGAGATCTTTTGTACCGGAGAAGGAGGAGAATGTATGAGGCTTCGTGCGAATATCGAAGATGAAAGGTTTTTGAAGCCATGGGATCAAAAAATGAGTTCCTTCACCCACTGTTTCGTCGATGACTCCTCGGAATCGGTCGAAGAGTACGGCGCGTTGGCCGCCGTCAACGGTGTACAAGGAGGAGCTGAGAGCCGTTGCGCCGACGCCAATTCCGAATGCCGCTCCTGCTACGTTCCTCAGAAATGATAGTACTGCTTGACTGCTACCCATTTTTTACAGAGAGTTTTAGGGTTTTTGGGATGAAGAATGGGAGAAGAAGGGGGATTGCAGGGGTTTTTGGTAGAGAATAGAGTGTTGTACAAGAAAAACCATAAACCTCGAAACGGGTAAACGGATCAGACCGGGTCGGATTGTAGGAGGCCCAACACAAATTACTTGGGGCTCCATTTCCAAATGCAACAAGTCTTTATACTTATGGTTGACCAACTATATGATCCTTCCGCCTTTAATTAACGATAGGAATATATTTGTGTAGCATTTTTATGTTGATTTAATGTCTTAATCTTACTTTGGCAGGTGATTAATTCGTTTTCAGTTCTAGGTTCTTAAATAAGAGTAATATTATCTTTCAAATATGCACAAGTGACATTACTTAGTGGGGTCTGGGGAGGGTAGTGTGTACGCAGACCTTACTTAGTGGGGTCTAGAGAGGCTGTTTCCAAATAGACTCTCGGCATTCTACCCTGCAAGAACTTCCCACCTTGCTCTTGGGTAGACTCGAACTCACAACCTCTTGGTTGGAAGTAGAGATTGCTTACCATCAGAACAACCCCTCTTGTCTATAAGAGGAATATAATCTCTTTTACTAGAGATATTGTTGCACAATAAAGAAATTTAGAGGTACACAGATTAGAGTGTAAAAAAAGAGTTACATTATTAATATGAAAGTGTAAAAATATAACCCGTTAAATTATCCTCGTAATATAAATATTACAACGTATTTAAGTCGTGATTGAATATAAATGAATTCCTTGGAATTTAGAGGTGATTGCACAAAAGACATCAGCGTAAAAGTATGACTTATTAAGATAGCTGGTATATTTCTAATGTTTGTTATAGCATGTTTGGCCAAGTTTTTTTTTTGATCAAGAGTATTTTTTTTGCCACAATTATTTTTTTTTAAAGTTAAGGTGTTTGGTCAAGCTTTTAGAAGGAAAAAAAAACTTTTTTGTAAAAACAGAAACAATTATTGAAAAGAAAAAAATAGTTTCTCCCCAAAAGCACTTTTCTGAAAATATTTTTGAGTAATATACACTTAAAAACTCTTTTTAAAAGCTAAGTCAAACACTAATTGTTATTAAAAGTGCTTTTTAAATTAATTAGTCAAGCGCAAACTGTTTTTCAAAATTAATTAGCACTTTTGAAAAAATACTTATCAATATAAGCTGATTTTAGAAGCGTAGAAATGATACCGAGTAGCCACTTTATAGGGTTGTATTTAGGAATTAACCAGCGCGTCCAGAATTTTAGTTTTTCAATTCATATTTTCAGGACAACAATGTTCTAAATTGTCCTGAAGTTAATTTTTAGTTTAAAATTTCATGACAAAATAAGCACCGGCTAATTTCTAAATAACATGCATGAGAATGACTATCTATGCACTTGAAGCTTGACCAAACATGCTATTAGTTATATTTCAATAAGAATTAGCTAGAATAATAAAATTTTACTCCCGTCGTTCACTTTTATTTGGACCGTTTTGACTTTTCACGTCCCTTAAGAAATAATAAATGAAGTGCATAATTTACCATGATACCCGTATTAATTGATGCATATTTTATTGGATTTGAGAAAATAATTTTAAATGAGTAATAAATACTGTAGTATAACAAGGAAAAAAAATTATATCTATATGTGTAAAGTGACAAGTAAATATGAAAATCTATTTTTTAGTATACATACTAAGTAAAAGTGAACGGAGGGAGTAGTACAATTTTAAAGTAAAATGAGTCTAAATAAAGCACGGAGATCATTTTCAACTTACTTTAACTGAGGGGTAATTATTACAGTAGTATTGTTTTAAGGAATAAGGATTAATTAGATATACTTATTCAAGACCAAAATTGAACCTTATATGCAGTTTGAGTAGACATTATAATTTATGAACACAAGTAAAATTCTTGTATTTCTTATTCAAGCCTTTCATATTCACAGTCTGAATATCAATGTCAGCAAAGAACAAAATCCTTTCTATAGTAAACCAACTGAAAATTTGTACAAGTTCAAAGCAGCTGGAATCCCTCTACACTTTGATACTAAAAAATGGTGCTGCAACCAAAGACTGTTTCTTAATGAACCAATTCATTTCCACATGTTCTACACTTAATAACACAGATTTTGCATCCCTTGCATTTTCCCAAATGGAAAATCCCAATGTATTCGTTTTCAACGCATTAATAAGAGCTTTTATTCATTGTCACAGCCCAATTAATGCTTTAAACTTGTATATAGACATGTTAAAAAAAACTCAAAATAGTCCAAATAGCTACACATTTTCGTCAGTAATTAAGGGTTGTACTTTGATGTGTGCTTTAAGACTAGGTGAATGTGTACATGGGCAAATTTGGAAGTATGGGTTTAGATCCCATGTTTTTGTTCAAACTGGTTTGATTGATTTTTACTCTAATTTAGGTAGAGCTGATTTATCAAGATTAGTGTTTGATGAAATGCCTGAAAGAGATAATTTTGCTTGGGCTGCAATGGTTTCAGCCCATGCTAAGGCTGGTGAGTTGGGTGCTGCTAGAAGTTTGTTTGATGAAATGCCTGAAAAAATTACCCCTGCTTGGAATGCTATGGTTAATGGGTATGCAAGAACTGGGGATGTCGAGTCAGCTGAGTTGTTGTTCAAGGAAATGTCGAGTAAGGATTTGATATCGTGGACTACGATGATAAATTGTTACTCTCAGAACGGGATATATGGACGAGCTACAGAGGTTTTCTGTGACATGAAGAGTAACTTGATCACTCCTGATGAAGTAACAATGACTAGTGTTATTTCTGCTTGTGCACATCTTGGTGTCCTGGATCAAGGAAAGGAGATGCATCTTTATGTTATGCAAAAAGGTTTTGATCTTGGTGTACATATTGGGTCTGCATTAATTGACATGTATGCAAAATGCGGGAGCTTGGAGAGATCACTCTTGGTATTCTATAAGTTGAGGGAGAAAAACCTTTTCTGTTGGAATTCTGTTATCGATGGACTGGCTGTTCATGGTTATGCAGAAGAGGCATTAGCTATGTTTAGCAGGATGGAGAAAGAGAAGGTAATGCCGAATGGTGTTACCTTTGTCAGCGTTCTTACAGCTTGTACACATGCAGGGCTAGTTGAGGAGGGTCGGAAGAGGTTTCTAACTATGACCGGGTACTATGGTATCGTTCCTGAAATGGAGCACTATGGTTGCATGGTTGACCTATTGTGTAAAGCTGGTTTACCAGAGGAAGCACTTGAGATTATTAGAAGCATGAGAATGGAGCCAAATGCTGTTGTTTGGGGTGCTTTACTTGGTGGGTGCAAGCTTCAGAAGAACTTGGAAATTGCTCAATTTGCTGTTGGAAAGTTGAGTATTTTGGAGCCAAAGAACAGTGGCTATTACGCCCTCCTAGTGAACATGTATGCTGATGCAAATAGATGGAGTGAAGTAGCCAGGATCAGGGCAATCTTGAGAGGATTAGGAGTAGAAAAAGAATGTCCAGGTTCCAGCTGGATCGAAATAGAGAAAAAGATCCATCAGTTTGCTGCTTGTGATAATTATCACCACTCTTCACAGGAGATTTTTTCCTTACTAGATGGATTTGATGGGCAACTTAAGCTGGCTGGGAATGTTCAAGAGCTTGGATTTGTGTTCTAATGACATGCAAAGCCATTGTTGACAGCACAGACTTCATATTCAAAGTGGTTAAATATTTTGTATTCTGTTGCGGTGGATTTAGATCTCGAACTGTACATTCAAAGAGGCAAAGGTAATGCAAATTCATTCGAGTCACTAATCTTGTGCTATGTAAAATCATCGCAGCAACCGTTACATGGGCATTTCGTACGGCTAAAGGTTCATAACTACAGCATTCAATTAAGTACAAATTCATTAAGAAGTTCACTCTTGGTAATATTTTTTTTTTGTATGTTCGTTCTGTCTTTCTCGTTATTATTTGATGCTTTAGTAAAATGATAATGCCAAAGTAAAAACTGAGTGATCAGGCTTGGAGATGAAAATGAGAAAGTTTGGAAATTTCAGAAATCATCTAGGGCGACGGGATATTTGAGATTAAGTTGCACTGTTTTGCCTTAGGTGGTTGGCCCTTAACCTTTTTTCTTCATTCTAATTTCTAGTACTTCTGGAGCTGCAGTTAATGCCAAGGCGGGAAGTTTCTGTTTGAAGTAAAATCCGAGCTGCCACAGAATATGGATTGTATCTAGACAACTCTGAGTTCAAAGTTTTTCCAGTTGAATCAGTGGCTCGGGCGATGAAATTTCTCTCCTCTGCTCTAACCGGTGGCTATTAGGCACTTCGCAGTTCCTCCTTATCTCTCCTGCGCAGCCAGATTGGTCACCCATCTTTATCATCCCTTCAACAAAGGCCTCAAAGAATTTATCTTGGTTAGCACTAAACCATCTTACATACTCTCTTGTTAGATGGTATTTAAAAAGTGTTTTATCTGACTTTAGAAATCTTCGTCCGTTGACTAAGTCTTTGAAGTACTGGTTATCAAATACTTCAGGTGTTGCATCCAGGGTCACATTCCCATCTCCACCAAGTGGAGAAAGCCTGTCTAGCTTTTTCCTAAATCTTTGTTCAGTAGCAGGGTGAAGCCGGCCTGAGCCAGACTGGTTATATAGGCAAAAAATGATGTCAAAGCACCTTCCGTTGCCAATGGAACGAGAACCAGAAAGGGCTACAAGAATTAAATCTGCTGAAGAGATCAATGAGGTAGCTTGCATTTGATCTTGGACTTCGCATTATCTTGTCCGATTCTTCTTGATTTGCTGTTAGGCTATCTAGCCTTCCTAATTTCACTTCCCAATTTGGACCTCCACTCTGAGTAAAATAACAAAGCAACTCCTCTCAAGAAACTGTTGCTAAATACATGTTTAATTTTTCTGTGATGAAACCAGAAAAGATGAGAATAACAAGGAGCGTTTTCTATTATTATCTTCTTGCTAGATACGTTGCTTCATTATGTTATACAGCTTCTTAATTTACGGTCGATTTACTCCTCAAATTGTGATTTACTTCACTAAAAGGAAGAATTAACCGTGACTCTCCTTGACTCCTCGACCTTGATTCTGAAGAATTAACCGTGACTCTCATCGACTCCTCGTCTATGGTTAATATGGCTTCTTGGACCATCTTAAATGAGGGTTTGAGGATCCTTCTCGTAATGTCATTTTGACATGAATATTCAAAAGGCAGATTTTGACCCATACAGTAGGAATCTAAATGCAAACTCTACTTGTACTTCGTTTATTCTTAACACTAGTAAACCACGTATCATGTATTATGTTTAGGAATATGGCCCGAATCAGAGAATTTCAATGACAAAGGTATGGGTCCAGTCAAGGAACTTGCACCAAAGGTTATGATTTCAATTCTTCCAGCTGCAATAGGTAACGGTCTTTGTTGAGTTATATTTATCCAATAAGGGCTATTTAAAATTTCCGAAAGTGGATTACAGAGGTGTTGGGCAACTCTCTTAAGGTTTTGGACGTGGTGCTCATATTTTCTCACTGTCTTCAAACATTCGCCTATTCAGCTTATTAAGTACCTTGCTAGGTGTTTCAGTTTGATTAGAAGTTTTACTGTCTACATTCATGGACATGTATCAGGAAACTGATAGGCTGATGGGCATGGTACTCGTGTTGCAGCTACGGCAGCAGGGAGTCCAGTGGCAGGTGCATCTTATTGTGGGTTAGCAGCAGGAACAGCCAAGGGTGGGTCTCCAGGGTCCAGGATTGCAGTGTACCGTATATGCACGCCTTATGGATGTAGTGGATCGGCTATTATGAAAGCATTTGATTATGCCCTTGCGGATGGGGTTGATATCATAAACCTATCAATTGGTCAACCAGCTGCAGCAGAGTTCGAGTTTTCAAGAAATCCTATTGCCATTGGAGCCTTCCATGCTGTAGAGAAGGGCATTCTTGTTGTCACCTCTGCTGGAAATGATGGCCCTTTACGAGAAACTGTTGTCAATGTTGTTCCTTGGATTTTCACAGTTTCTGCTACAACTATCGACAGGAACATTGAGACACATATTCCCTTGGGCAGGAACAAGCTGATTAAGGTATTTAAAAAGAAAAACAATGTTATTCTAACCACTAGCTATCTTTCAAGAACATCTTTCAATACAAATTCTTAGGGTGGAGGTATTAGCTTTGGTAATCACAGTAAATCTCCAGTTTATCCATTGCTGGCCAGTGAGTCTGCCAACTAACTATTTATGACGGGTTGGCAAGGTAATTGGAAGATTGAAATATATTAGTTCCCATTTCTAGGTCTCCCTTGGAAATAAAAATTGTACATACCTGCAACTAACTTTTGGGAAATTTCAGAGAATGTGAACCAGATTCACTCGACGAACACAAAGTCAAGGGTAAAATTGTTGTTTGTGAATATCACGTTGATGATTATTCAATCGAAGATAGGATAAACGAAGTGAAGAACAAGGGTGGCATTGGATTTGTATTAGTTATTCCTGATGATGAGTTAAATCATAGTGGCACCCAAACTAGGATCCTTTCCAGGTGCAGTAATCACTCAAGGGGATGGCATAAAGATTCATTCGTACATCAACTCAACAAGGTACTCACTTTACTTCTCAATAAGCACTTGGCGTTACATACTAACTGCACTTTCATATTTTCTCAAGGAACTCTGTGGCAACAATTCTACCAACTGTTAGTATAGATAATTTCAAACAAGCTCCTGTTGTTGCTTTCTTCTCATCAAGAGGCCCTGCTTATAATACTCCAAAACTCCTAAGAGTAAGCTATCCATATGTTTTTCCCACCAATTTGGACCGCTGCTCGATTTGTGCCCCTCGTGCAGGACCATGCTAGTCTTCTCTCTGATTTTCAATTTTATTGAATATCTCCAAAGGGATATAATAAGGACTTGTGGTTGATACATACTTATGTTATAAAGCAGAAGTTATGATCCACGCCAGATTGCCAGTAGATCGCATACTGAATGGTTTCTGACATGTACTTGCAGCCGGACATTGCAGCACCAGGGACTGCAATACTTGCAGCTTGGCCAACAAATGACACAGAAGTGTCTCGGTCCGGTCAAGAACCACCACTATTCAACATCCTCTCAGGGACTTCCTTGTCTTGTCCTCATGTTTCTGCAATTGCTGCAACACTGAAGTCTCAAAATCCCACCTGGAGTTCTTCAGCCATCAGAATTTAGATCAGCTATAATGACTATGAGCACGTGATTTTCGCCCTATATGAGAATCACTCCCAAAAATTCAAAATAAAACAATTTTCCTTTGTATACAATGTTTGTATTTTTGTGGTATTTTTTTATAATTATTTGTATTTTGTCTGTGCATGTTTATTTGTTTAAATTAATAAAAATATAAAATATGTTGCATTTTCATTTAGTATTTATTTAAGTTTGTTTTACAAAAATGAGAAAATCATAAAAAAATAATGTACGTTGCACTTTTAGCATTTAACGCCTAAATTGTGCGATTTTATCGTTAATTGCTATTTAAATGTGCGATAATAGTTATTTGGAATTAATTAGTATTTTTTATAAGTCAATTTAGTTTATAAGTTAATTTAGAATTTTAGTTTTATTAATTAGGAAGTAAAAGAAAAGAGAGCAAGAATATAAAAGAAAATCGGAATTAGGCCTCTTCTTCAATTTTGAACCACATGCCCAAATATACCCAACCTTTCCCTACGACCCGGTCCATTTCAAACCGGGTCGACCCAGTCCATAACCCAACACCCCTATTTCCCTATCTTTC